CCCCCCCCAACCTCCATCCCCATCAAAGAAGAACACATTAATTAAAGGGAGCCCACCTGTAACTGGTTATGGCTAAGGTCGACTCGGCTCAGGTGAGGCAGACGGAGGGGCAACTCCACGGGGATCTCAGTGAGGGCGTTGAACGCGGCCGTCATGGCTTCGTACAGTGATACAGAGTCTCGGATGTTCCACGGCAGTTCTGTCAGGCAGGCCTCGTGGACCTCCCCATGCAAATGCTGAAGGGAAAATTTTTAGTTTTAGTTTTAGTAGAGGCTTTACGGTGCTCGCACATGCATTTAAGGTCATATCAGCCTCAAAAGATTAGAGGTGTTGCAAGAGAGTAACAAACATAAAAAGAAAAAGGGGAGATAGGGACGATAGATGTTTGATAGGAAAGAAGAAGCAAACCACACCAGAGCACTAGCCAACCATCCACAAAGGAAGATTGGTGATAGAAACCCACACAAAATGACAGGAAAAGTTGCTGCAGTGATGATTTACAGATCCCATTTTAAAAATTACATGACATTAGTTCCTGCTGTTGTCACTGCTCTTCTTAGCATTGTTGGAAACAATTTATAGACCCACAAAAATATTTGTCACCGTACCTACACTATACAGATCATTTAAACGTGGGGCTGTTTTCACTCTGAAATAAGGGCCAACTTGGGCTGAACTGAGTGGGGAAACAACAAAGCAGCAGATAGACGAAGAAAGTACCTGATAAAATAACTTCTTCACTTGGAAACTGAAATCGGCTCTTAGACTTTTGCATGTAACAACAAAGAGCCTGTGACTGTGAGCCTAACAACAAGTGCCAGACCCGAAACAGACAATGGCAATTATTATCAAGGTTCGCCACTCATTTCCTCTGCTCGCATGCCCTAAAAAAAAATTCTACATTATCATTATCCTGGTCTTTTCACTTGCCCCATTTGTCCCAGTTCTCTAAGTAAGTTTCACTGTTTGTGTACCTCTGCCACTTTCGTCTTCTATTTTTTCAGTGAGAACGAGAAAACAGTAGTAATCTGAAAGGAATTACTGACGCTACATAAATGGTTGACTCACCTTGACATACTGTTTCGGAGTCACTTTCCGACTAAGGTTCAGAATTTTCCTCTCATCTGCTCGCACAGGAGCAAAGTCATGTGCCTCAATGTTACCCATGGCTTTTCACTTGGAGAAACCAAAAAAAAAATTAAAAAAGACAATAAATATGCATTCACCGAAAATGTGAAACTTTTAAAAACTTGATCAAGAAAAATGTTGCTTGTGTGTAGAAAATGAATTAGGGAGAAGTTTCAAAGAATCCATCCTATTATAATAATTCAACAGTTGAGAGCCAAATATATGAGGATGAAACATAATACATTTTGTCTTATTTTTACTAAGCTTTCAAAAAATATAATAGCAAATAAAGGATTCAAACGGTGCTTCCACTTGGGGCTTTTTAAAATTCTAATTTAAAGAACTGTCCAAAACAGCTTGATTACAATTTTTCATCACACTACAATTTCAAAGAAGTATTTCGCAATGATTAGAAAAGAAAATGTTAACACTAGAAAGGTGTAAAAGGCAGACCACATCAATGAGTCACCCAACCCAGTCACAGGTCATTAGCATAAAGTAGCCTGCATGTTTGAATCTGCAAGTAGTTAATGAGAATAAAAAAGGGGTTTATTGAAGAGACATCATGTTTAATGTTTTTGGCGTACATACACTCACATTGCAGTAATCTTTCCTTTTTAACCCTAATGTAACTCTTTAACAGTGGCTTGACCTGACAAGGTGGAAAACATACTTGTAACTAACATGGAATATGAAGCAATAATAACATACATTCATGGGATAATCCCGTTTTGATCCTAACAATTTAAGCCTCACATAGTTATATATACTTTCTTTCCCCTACCCTACTACTCCATAAAGTTAATGAGTATTTAGTAAGCTAGATCTAGATAAACTAGGCGTTATAAAATTTAAATCATCATTAACATGAACATGACAGAGAGAAAGCAAGACAAAAAAAAAAAAGAACACTCTTTGGAAATTTCCTTCCCGCGCCATTGGCATCCATTTTGAAACTGATAATTTGCCATGTCATCGTCAGGATTGAGCGCATTAATACACATGTAAACACGGAGGGTCCACCAATGTTTAATCCGGCCAAAATAAATTTTCAATACAAAAAGGGAGTGTACAGACCCGGTTACCAAGAACAAAGTCACAAAGTATACAGACCCGGTAGGGGAACTCTTTTGAGATTTCGGAAAGTTTCAGCGCCCTCTTGGCTCAGGGTAGACCTAGGTTCTTCTAGATCTATGGCCAAGGCTAGGTCTAGATCTAGACAGACAGACATAAATCATTGATCTAGTTTCAGAACTTTCCGAAATAACAAAAGAGTTCCCTTACCGGGTCTGTATACTTCGAGACTTTGTTCCCGGTTACCGGGTCTGTATACATTTCGATACAAAAAAGGCAGAAAAGTATTAGATCTAGATCTAAGTCTTGACTAATGTGGTAGGATTCACTTAGCCTACACTACATTCCTACAAGGCAAGGTCAATTTTGTGCGCCTTACTTAGCCTTGGCCTTAGCAATCACTTCTCTTCTGTCTCTGTTAGTGACAGTTAGTGTTTCTAAGTTTCTTGTGTAAACAAACGGGAAGGCAATTTCCAAAGAGCCCAAAATAACGTTTGTCACACCAAAAGAGAGGAGTGGGGGGGGGGGAGAATCAAAGAGAGCACTCCGTGACAGAGACTATTTGGACTTTCCTCTCACAAGAATTGTGACAGGCATAGTCTACTACTTCTGCGAAAACGAAAGTAGGAAATACCTCCTGCTCAGCACTACAGGCCGTATAAGCCGTATTGAGTTAACTTTTATTATTGCTATTGGCACATGGGACAGAATAAGTGTCTACCAAAGCCACTTACAAGAGTGTTCAGAAACACTGAGATTTCTGACAAAACACGACATTCAATTCTTTCGTATTCACCTTTTGTACTATTCCGCTTAGCCTATGGCTTCACATTTCACAGTGGCACCATTGGCCACGAAGTCAACGGAAGTACGCCTTTTTTCCCCCTTTGGCCTGTTGCTGTCCTCCGTCTCGCTCTCAGTGAACTGAATTCGAAGTTTTCAGCGCAAACTTTATTAATAATATTGAAAACAGAATTATTAAATAGTTTTCTTCGTGGGGTTGCAAGGAAAGAGGGGCTGGGTGGCATATATTTTTAAAACATTTTCTAAACACGTCTGCATACCTGAAACTGAAATCATGAGAGTTATTTTGGGGCATTCTCCACTATTACAGGAATACAGGACAGGTCTATTTGTTAACCAACGGTTACTTCATTATTGTAAAAGCAGATTTCTCCTACATGTTACTACATATACCTACATGAACACACTTGGAGCCGGCTGGTGCTCTGTGCAGCTGACGTTTGTGAAATTAAACATGGCTTGCCTTTTCCTTGACAAGTGTTGGTATATGATCAGAACATGTGTAGGCCTACAGAATAGATAGCATAGATTCAAAATAATAGCAACCAAAAGCATTCGCTAACTCTAAGTAAAGTCGTAGTCCGATTCCTCCTCATTTACCTGGTATAGTATGTCTACAACAAAAAGCGCATGAAAATGAATTATAATATGTGCTTTTTGTTCAAAATCTTTCCTTTTCTGAGGAAGCTATTACATATTTATTACTTTAATTGGTTCGATTCTCAGCTGAATTAGTATAAGATTTAAAATTTGATCATTTAACTTGCATATTATTGTCTGGGGCATGGATGGTTGAAACACTAGTAACATTATCATTTAATTGCGCCTATCTGGGATCCGTTTCTTCCTGTGCTGTTAACTTTAATCATTTCCCATGCTTGAGTTCCTGTATAATAAACAATGAAAAAGTATCAGCGACATAAACAAAAAAATCACATTTGAATTCAAAGACTGTGAGTCTCTACTTCGATGCTTGTCAGTCGACACAGGATGGTAGTAAACAGTCATATCTCTTACATCGTAAAAACCGACAACTAACCCCTAACCCCTAACCCCAAACTTCCATGCAACTTTGATGCAAACCTGCAAGACCTATATTATTGATAAATTTCTTTTTTTCATACCTCACTGTCATTAATACGTTATCATTCGATACCTACCTGTCTATAGTTGTGACAGGTGATAATTTGATACGTTCCTCTCGATACCCTTTAAAACTCATTATATCTTATTTTTCGATACTCTTATCCGGCCATTCTTCGTTCCCACCTTTGTCAGGTCAGTATTCGAAAACACATTTGACTAGTCATTCGACCTCATGCAAGTCTCTCTTGCTTCGCCTGACCACATAATCAATACCTAACCGTCATTATCTCCTTAGATTTGTCATTATTTGATTTCCCTTTATCTTTTAAATAACTAACCGTAGCTCATTTGCGTAAATTTGATAATTATTCTACGAGTATTCTGTTTTGGATCATTCCCAGGTGTCATCATTCGACCTTGGCATACTGTTTACTTCGAGTCTATTCATTCGAGTTTTTTGTTGATAGTTTTTTGTTCATTTATATTTTTGAATCATCAATCAATTTAATTAACTAGGCTAGGAGAATGCCGCCATACTGGCGAGCACATGACGTGCCAAGGGACCACCTGCCACCTAACATGTCATATTCATATAACAAATATTTCTATTCATTTATATAGGCAGTGTACTAACAATTATGTTATAGTATGGTTTTGCTTATAATATTTTCCATCTGTCATTCTGTTCATTTTGAAAAATGTGCTTTCCAAGGGCTTACTAAGGTTTGAAACATTTCCTTATATTTCGACATTCAAAAGTTTTGCTAGATTTGTCTTTCACCTATAAAAGCGGCGTTTCTCTTTTTCTGTTTACTGTTGTTTAACAAGACTTTTTAAGGTAATTGTTTCCCTTACTCAAACAGTTATTTCGGGTTGCTGTTACTTACTTCTTAAAAGAGGACTCCTGTAACTGAGTGTACTACCTTTAAAATTAATTGTGTTTTGTTTCTTTTAAGTCTTAAACATTTTACTTGTGAGGTGATGTTGTGTTTTAAAAAAACTAAATTTGAGGCCAAACGATCGGTTAATGAGACTCCTGGAGCAAGGGCTGGAGATGAAGGGAAGTGACTGATTAAATTGATTTTGAGAGACTACAAATTGAATTGAATTTCTGTTATCATTCCATTTCCTTATATTTTTATTAATACCTTGTTGTACAGAGTGCTTTATTTGGGAGAGCCGTACATAGATCTAGATTACTTGAAAATAATTGAAAGTAAAGTAGTTTTACACTAACAAACTTTGTTCAAGTATTTGTTTGTTTTTCAAATTAATTTCCACAAAGACTCGAACAGATGTAAAAGAGAGTGAGTGAGAGAGAGAGAGAGAGAGAGAGAGAGAGAGAGAGAGAGAGAGAGAGAGAGAATGACAATGAAAATGACAATCTTAATTCATCTGAAAGGAAAAAATTTGTCTTGATCGTTTACAAAGGCAGTGGATGTTACAAAGGTTATGTGCACTCACGCATACTCAAAACAAGACAGGACATTAGTAAAATATACATGCTTCACCAGCTTAAACAACCCGCTCCGTAAACATTCTCTCTCTTTCTTTTTTTCTTTCTTTCTCTCTCTCTCTCTTTCTCTCTCTCTCTCTCTCTCTCTCTCTCTCTCTCTCTCTCTCTCTCTCTCCCTCCCTCTCTCTCTCTCTCACTCTGTGTGTGTGCGTGTGTGTGTGTGTGTGTGTGTGTGTGTGTGTGTGTGTGTGTGTGTGTGTGTGTGTGTGTGTGTGTGTGTGTGTGTGTGTGTTTGTGTGTGTGTATGTGTATGTGTATGTGTCATGCAAATTTATTGTTGTCGATTGTAAGACCAAAATATTTGTATCAAACCGTGATTTCAATTGATTCTAGTTCAATTACGAATGGTGGGATTGCTGGTTTATCGCTTCTAAAATGAAATATAATTGCCTTTGTTTTTGAAAGGTTTCATACGAGAGAGAGAGGAGAGAGAGAGAGAGAGAGAGAGAGAGAGAGAGAGAGAGAGAGAGGCAGAGTGAGAGAAAGAGAGGGGAAAGTGCGGTGAATGGGTAACAGAGACGGAGAGATCCCACTTTAATAATAAATGGAGTATTCGGATAAAGACTCCCATAACTCTTAGTAAAGTATTCACTTAAAATGTTTTTCCTCGGTTATTTCTCTTCATATTCGGTCCCGGCTTCACGGGTCAGACGATCATTTGGCTTAAAATTTTGCTCATAGCGCTATATTGCCTCTAAAGTGAAATGTGTAATGACTTATGAGACAAAATACAGTTGATTGTGAAGGTGGAGGGCTCAGTCTCGAGACAAGAGGAATCCATATTAACATGGAATAAAGGGCTCAATAGTGTTTTATCAACAATAACCCAAAATAACTATTGCGGTAAGGGAGACCATAACCTTTAAAAGTTTTGTTGTGAAACAACGTGCAGAAAAATGAAAAAGCTGGTTTAATCAAGGAAGAAAAAAAGTAGCAAAACTTTTTATTTCGACATACTAGAACATGTTGCGATTTTCTGTAAGCCAGCCGAAACTTTGTAGTTTTTACTGAAAGAAAGAAAGTTTGAAAATATTCTAAGCAAAACTATAGTATATTTCAAATGTCTGTACACTGACTATATAAATAAATGGCAAGTTATATAGAAAAGAACGGAATGTAAAGTGGTCTCTATTAACTTCACTTCACGTCTCGTCCTCGCAACTTTGGCTGTCTAGTCTAATCCAACTGCTCAAAAATGGGTCTTGAGGTATCAGTTAATGGGAAGGAAGAATTTAAAAAATTACGACAGTGGTCATACATAGTTAATTACATAAAACCGAACAATAGTCGAACGTATTCAAAACAAAAGCAATTCGCGCTCAATAGGTATGGAATGTTGATAGATCCAAAGCACAATTAATTAGTGATTAAAGAAGAACGTATCGAATAGTGACAAGACAAGGGGATATCAAAATATTGACTAGAGACAAGTTGGTGTGATTATACGATGGTGGTATCAAAGTGGCCAGTGTTTGGAAGGGACCCTCGGTGACGAGGCAAAGTATTGATTACTGACCAGGTGAGAACTTTCAAAAAGTAAATAGATAAGGTTTATCAGGTATTGAATAATGTCAAAAGGTAGTGGTATCGAATAGTCGTTAAATCGAGTAGTGACCATACAAGAACATGTAATAAAGGTATATAAAACAATGGCTGAGAAAGGTATGGAATAAAATATCGAATAGCGATTAAAAAGTGTATCGGATAAGGTATCGAATAAGGTATCGAATAAGGTATCGAATAAGGTATCGAATAAGGTATCGAATAAGGTATCGAATAAGGTATCGAATAAGGTATCGAATAATGTATCGATTAAGGTATCGAATAATGTATCGAATAAGGTATCGAATAAGGTATCGGATAAGGTATCGAATAAGGTATCGAATAGTGTATCGAATAAAGTATCGAATAGTGTATCGAATAAAGTATCGAATAGTGTATCCCCTAACCCCTAACCCCTAACCCCTAACCCCTAACCCCTAACCCCGAAGCGCCGACGCTAAAACTGGAACCACAATTGTAAAAAACAGCATCATCATTGCTTTCCTCGAATATCATCATCATTATTCCAGCTCCTTCAATATACCATCACCACCCCCACCTATAACACCACCAACACCAGCACCATTAGGGGCACCACTTACACCACCACTAACACCATCATCATCATCATCATCAGCATGGCTATCGGCGTCGTCATCAGCGTCATCAAGGACATCTTGATCACCTTCATCCTCATCTTGATATTTCTGAACAAAAAATTATCAACTACATGGCAGAGCTTCGACTGCTTCAGGATCGGAAGCACATTTACCACGAGTAGAATCATTGCCAGGTTTCAT